TTTTCTCTGACCTTTCACCTTTCAGCTTCGTCCGCAGCATTTATCTTTATCCTGTAAAATATTTGTATTCCTTAAAAACATTCCAGACAAAATTCAATCTTCACAGAGATTAATTTATTTCAGTGACGTTTCCACTTAAACAACGAAATAAAGATTTACAAATCCAAACAAAGATTTACACTGAAGAAGAGAGGTTCTGTTTGATTCGGGTCAGATGTCTGATCTCATCTGTAACGACACCAAACAAGGATCAAACTGTTCTTCAGATACTTTCACAACTGTCCCACTCAACCGTGTCGTACTTTTCTTTTCATTTCACGCAGTCAGACCGAGGCCCAACAGTTAATTCTGTCATGAGACTATGAGGAGGCAGCGGGTGGTGTGTCGGGAGCTGCCGCCTGCTCTTCTTTCAGTCTGCGTTTCATCAGTTTCCTTTTCTTCTTCTCTTCTTTTTCTATCTCAGCAACCATTTCCAAGAACTTGGGGCTGCGGGGGTCCAGCGCGTAGCCAAAGCGCTCTCTGGCCTGAGCCAGCAACTTTCCGCGGCGTTCTTTCTCGTCCTTCAGCCTCTGTTTGGTTTCACGCTTCTCCCGACGCCAGTCTGCGATCATCTTGGGCATTTTGGCCAAGTTTGCTGCAATGATTTTCTCTCTGCGATGGAAACAGAAAAGATTGGATTAGTTTCTGAGTGAAATGTTTCAACAGCAATTGGACGGATCATCGTGTTTTGGTTCAGACACTGATTTTCCAACTCAGGAGGAATTTTAATAACTTTTCATCTCGTGCCACCATATGGTCAAAATTTGTCTAAAACGTTTAATGTCACATTAGATGTTTGAGTTTATTTGGACAAAGGACATTTATCATTTTCTACTTTTAACTTTATTAATCTTTAGACACAAAAAGTAGCAGTGAAATGAGAAATATGCTATCATAGATATTAAAGAGTGGATTTTTTACCACAGTTTTCTCCCAGACAACCGACACACACACAATCACACACACACACCTAAATATATTGCTTTAATTAATGTCACACATTCATTAGTTTGAGTTGTTGTCGTGTTGTAGAAGATATCAGCCGTTTCAACATTTTGATGAAGCCTTTGATTAAAGATTCTTCTTCTAATGACCAGTGTTGTAATCTGTTTTAATCTCATATAGATTATTTACCTTGTATTTTCTGTTTATCTTATATATTATAATTCATCACTGTGTTTAAATATAGTTGTTTAAGTTTGATTGTATCACAAGGACACTTCGGCCGCTCAATCACTAGACTGATCTGAGGTCAGACATTGGAGGCAGCAGGTGTACTAGCCTAGCTGTCCGATAATTGACGCACTAGCCCCGTTAGCATGCCTTACTTCGCCAGTCGTTTCTGGGTCTCCTCCTTCTCCTCCAGCTCGATGCTCCTCAGCATCGCCTCCAACGGAGGCTGCCACTGCTTCTCCTCCTCGACGATCCCGTCCAGCTGCTCGGGGCTCGGCCACAGCGACGCGGGGTCGATGCCCGACGCGGACCCGTAGCGACCGAACAGCTTCCCGTCGTACCGGGCCGTCTTCTGCCACTCCGCGGTCTTGTCGCTGAGCTTGTCCGGGATGTGCGGGTCGGTGAGGTTCAGCCGCAGAGGTCTGGGGTTGTAGGACGCGGTCTGCAGCACAGACCCGCACCGACAGCCCGCAGGGTTCGGCGGAACCCCCGCGAGAGTCCGACACAACACCGCTGCCCTCCTGCACAACACGGAGGCCGCCATCTTTGTTCACCCGCCGGAAGGACCCGGGGAGGAAGTGATAGGTGTCTTCCGCTGCGCCTGTTCGGATCGGTGGCTCCTCCACGTGCTCTGGAAATGTTTGAAGCGAACGTTTGGTTCTTGAATCACTTTGGAAACAACCGAGTTAACACCGCACAGTTCATTATGAAGAGGTAAGTTCCAAAGACATTACACAACAACAGCGTATAATTAAAAACTAAAGGAGAAACAGTTTTTAAGCAAAAACACCAAACATCAATTTTCTACTTTTCTCTAATAAGACACGAGTTTTGACTTCAGCTCTAAAGAGACAAATCATTGAAACTTGTGTCACTTGTGTCTGTGGAGTTTTCACTCACACGTTTGTGATATTTCACCGACTAGTGATTAAATAAGATGAATCCTCAACGTGGTGGACAGTGACCCGAGTTCAAACCAGAGAACATGGAATTGATTTTGAATCTGGACTCAAGTTGCTCAGAGTTTGGATAAGAAGAACAAACATGAC